AGCGTGCTGAGACTTCGTCTAGGCGGAGAAATTGGCCACGCGGGGAGCGCCCTGATGAACACTCTTCCCAACACCCGGGTCAGCGCGTCAGATGGTCGAGCAATCATCACACCAAAATCCAACGCACGTGATGAAATTGCAGCAATTAACGACACGAATATCGACCATCACGCCACGTGCAACGATCCCTGATGAAGGGGAGGGAGCCGTGAACATTCATAGTTATGCGGTGGCATGGCTACTGCATCCTATAAATACTGCAGCCACATGTGCATGAACCACCCTTATCTGCTTATGTCTCTGATGATGGATTCGAGCAGGAATCCGAAACGTCAGGCTAATAAAGCTCTTGTCCCGCGATCGTGTCGTCTTCTTCAAGACTGCTTCCTGGTACTCGTCTTTTCGCTTCTATTGGCAATGTAGACTAACTCTTAGCCTTATGTTAATAATCTACAGGATTCTCGTTGAAGGAGGTTTGCAGAGAGGTTTTGCATATTGCCTGCTCAAGCCTCTTTCGAACAGTCTGAATAATCTTCACTGGACGGTAAAATGAACAACAACCTAGTCCGACAAATCAGTCAGTACCCTGGTGTCCATTCACGAGATGTCCGGCTGTTTAGGGTGTTGATTAACATTTCTAGTCTGATGAAGCAAAGACTGCGAAGTGATATGGATGTTGGAGGGGCACTCACCGATCGTGTTACGGAACTCACTCGTCCCGTTGTGCCTTACGGGATCTCTCTCGAGCCCAACCAACAGCCGAACAGCGGCGCATGACATAGGCAAAATGTTATTACGGACAAAAGACAAGGCAGACTGGAATAACCCTTTCTGGATTATTAGCCGTCGTTAGCCAGCCATACACAACCCCGAGGGGTGGGACATCTGGAGCTCGATCCCCCGACCTGTTTGTTAGAGGTCCTATGGGTTCAACTCGAAGTACCGGTAATAATGCACTTTTGGTTTTCTTTGTAGCCAGGACCGTATGGTCATTCGAGCAGAACCCTCAAAACGTAGTTAACTCTAGTTGTGCTCAACAGTCCATGGATAGCTGCTAAGTCGGGTTATTTTGTCCCAAGCGAGTATTGGCGTTACTCAGGCGAACGACAAAGAACATAATGTTTCGCCGAGTCTGCAAGACGCACCGAGCTGCTACTGGCGAGCGCTATCTGGGTCTCAACAACCAAACGCTGTCTGGGGGCATTCCTTGATATTTTTAACGCATCACACACCTATATTTACGTCACACGTATGCCTCAGCCTTCTCCAGAGGATTAGCCCGACTGCACTTACATTCCGGCCTCTGGGTTGGTGAGATGATCTGTTATAGGATACCTAGGGGGTTTCGTTAACTCTCACACTTGGCAGGAGTTAAGCTGTTGGTTCAGATTATTGCTCCCCTCTTCTCCTAGCACATCTTCGATTCCTCGGACCAGTGATTTCCTGCGACGATAAGTTACGGCTGGTCGGTAGTTTCCTTCCAACGTTTTTACTTGTGCTTGTACCTTCTCTTGGTGGATGGCTATCGGTGTGCTCAGTTTCGCGACAACCTACTGACTGTTGCTGGCTTCACCTATCGACTGTGAAGATATACACATGAAACCAGCAATGAAATCCCTAACTCGAGATCGCCTCAATATTACTAGCAGGGCGGTGCGAATCGAGTCTCGGGTATCGCGTTCTAGTCAAGGCAGTTTAATGATTGGTTGGTCGCACGCCTCCCACTCAGCCCACTAAGGGCGCAATCTAATGCGCGCACGCTGATAGGCCAATCGATCGGACGGCGTGGTTGCTTCAGCAAGCGCACCCCCGACTGCCACTTTCTGCCTTGCCGCGCTGTCGTAAGTGCACCTGTCCTTCCCTTTACGGCATCCTTTGTTTTTCCTTGATAATAACTGTTTTACGCCCTTTTTGTGGTATTCCGAAGCCGATATCAAAGGGAACATACCGGAAACTTGCTGGCCTAGAGGTCGATGAACTGTTACGCCAAATTGCGGAGAATATGAAGGAGAGGTACTCGTCCGACGCATTTTCATCCTCATGGGACGGTTGCTCCTCCTAAATTTCGCCAACCGACGACGTTACTTCTGACAAAATGACGAATTTTACGGCTATGACATCGAACAGGGGATCTGAGGGGTCTCAAAAGTTCCCGTCAACTGAAGAGGAGTCGAGCGTACGTAGTGACCCGACCGGTGAACCTGCAGATATCGCAAGCACATCTGACAAGTTTTCTGAGGATAATAGGGCAGCTGGAGACAGCCGACGCGTCCGAATTGCCCTTAGATGCACGAGCACTACTTAGGGTAGCAAGCTTGCTGCGGCACCGATTGCGGCAGTGAGTAGTGGTGGTAGTACGTTCATTTAGGACTGGTAGCTGAGCAGTCACGTGTCTATTCCATGCCTATTTAAGGTGATAAGGTCGTGACTTATTTAGCAATCAATGGCCTTCCGATTCACAACAAGACTTGGCTAGGATTTCGACCAGCGCTATGTAAGTGAAGTGTTTTTTGTAGGGATATATATAGCCGCCATGGTAGGCTGTCGGATGTGTAGTCGTTTTGCAGACAACTGGCTGAAGAGCCATTAACTTTGGGCAGATGCAGTCTGCGTGTCTACGTAGTCAGCTGGTTACGGCAGTTCCGGCTTGCTGCCGTAATTTGCGGTGCGTCCCCCAGGGCTTTTGTAAAGCAAAATAGGCATGTACATGTTTGCTTTTGCAGCGAACAGTGTTGTGTAAGGGATGAATGCGTAAATAAGGTGGCCTACTACTGTGTGTCTGAGGGTGTGAAGACGAATGAGGACTTCGTATCCACCACCAGTGACTGCCGCCGCACTGGCACTTCGTCACTTCTATTATGCAACGTTGAGATAATTAGTCGTCTGCCTTTAGTCTCCCCAGGTGTCATGAGGTGATTTCGAAGCCCGAGGGGAAATGCGTCAAGTTTGTCAACTGCAGCAGTTATTACGGTCTTTCAGTGACCTAGACACATGGAGCAGAACGAAACTGTGTTAGTTACTGGTTTACATCAGTCAGTATATTTGGAGTAGACGACAGAAGCCCTGAAAACTCCATTTAGAGGGTACAGATATAAGGGAAAATAGTAAAATTGCAAAGCTTTTGCTTGTAGTTTTAGTAAGGAGAATTCATAAATCTAATAATGTAACGTAAAGGCGAAAGGGGTATTATCATTTTGAAAAACTTTGTTCACCGCATTCGGACTGTGAAAACTTCAATATGGACTAGGTTTGACGCACAAAATAGGATCTGTTGAAATCTTGTTAGAAGTATATTTATAGTCATTTCAGTAATCCGTTTGGTCAGGCTTCGGCAGTTCGGGTTGCCTTTCAGCAGGTAAGCATCCACTTGTCTCTTGAACATGTTCACGGTAGGGGAATTAACAACAAACTCCAGCAAAGAGTTCCATTGACGAATGACCCTCTGTGAGAAAAAGGAGGAGCGTTGATTTGTGTGGCACAGTTCCCTTTTAAGCTGATAATCACGTCGTCTGAGATTGGAGTTGGGTGCCATTTCAAAAAGCGTTTCCCAGTCGACATCCATATTAAGTCCTTTTACCAACTGGAACTTTGCTATGAGGTCACCTCTGTCCTGCCTGTAGTGGAGGGGATAGAGGTTCAAGGCCGTCAGGCGCTGCTCGTACGTGAAGTTTTTGAGGCCATGAACAGCCTTTATAGCACGCCGTTGTACACCTTCAAGGATATCTATATCCTTCCGAAGCCACGGCCGCCAAGCCTGGGCATAGTGGCCCTTTAAGGGGCACTTCCTCGACAATATTGGAAGCATTTTTGCCTACCGTTTACGGTACTACGCTGTCTCGTTCGCCCGAAATTGTCCAAACAGTTGATCCCCTGTTGTAGGTGCCTGCTTGATATGTTTGTTGACAGGTTTTCCCGGAAATGGGGGCGAGTGTGCGCGTCGCAGGTTCTTGTTGAAAAGGAGACGAAAACGCGATCACTGAAACGGCAGTTTTATTAGCCGGGACTTTCGAAAGTCCTGGCTAAACCTGCCGTTCCAGAGACCGCGTCTTCATCTTCCCAATAGCTTTTTTCCCTTATATGGTAAGTCTGAAGTGGTGTACAATGTCCAGTCTTGTACCCCTAACGAACGGTGTCCTACGCGGCATGGTCTGTCTGCTAGCTCGGAAAATTGAAGCTCATACCTAGAAAACCGCTGTGGCCACTGCGGCAAGTAGTAGGTTATTCATCGGCACAATGCCCTCTGAGGGATTGGCGACAGTCGACGGTGAGTTGGTGTGCACTCAAAACATGGCACGATATCTGTCTGGGGACGTAGAGCTAGTGTTTGTTGAGTACGAGAAGGTAGAATAGCATTTTGCCTACCCTACTAACTCATCACAAGTTAAGGTATGTTTAAAGTCACGACACGGGCTGTTCTCAACACTTGGCCATTGTCGCCATCGGCATGCATGTACGTAGACGATCACTTTGCCCTTATTGAAGTGGACGTTGGGACTTCGATGACTGGCATCCGCGGCTCGTGACTGTGCGACTGCTCTCGACAACCAACGAAATTCCGGGAATGGGTAATGGATGTGTCGGTGACTTTTGCGAATAATTGTAGTCTCACTGTAACTCGGCAGCATGTGGACTGCAGGTAAGAGAAAATTGTGGTCGTATGAAACAACAAATGTGTAGGTCTATAACCTACTCACCATCATCATCATCATCGGTGGGGTTAAGAATTGTCTAATTTCCTTCCCTTGCTACGATTTCGAAAGCGAGTCCATCGACTCCGGTGAAACCTTGTCTGGATGTATTTCACTACCACCACCTACTCAAATAGATATAGTAGTTGTTATTTCTAGTCAACGGATATTTGGGTGCCATCTCCCGATTGTTACCACTCGGCGTCCAGCCAGTTACAGCCATTGATTTGTATACAGTAAATGGGGGCGTAAATGTCTAAAAACTCCTGACTCTACTAACCCTTTTATTTTCCTGTTGCCTTGCAGCGTTTTATGTCTGATCAGGACCTTCCTGAAGATATTGCAAGACTGTTGGCTGAGGTGCCGCAACTTACGTCATCATCATCGGTGGTGTTAAGAATTGTCTAATTACCTTCTTTTGCTAGGATTTCGAAAGCGAGTCCAGCGACTCCGGTGAAACCTTGTCTGGAGGTATTTCACCACCATCAAACGCTGGTGAGTATTCACCTACATGCGATATTCTTTCTAGAGACTAGACACCGGCGTCGTAAGCGGTGGCGCGGCCGTCAAACTTCTCGCAAGAGAAATACCTCATTTAAAGCATGCCTCCGATGGATAATGTCGTGCCTTTGTCAACTACTGCGCATCACCTATGAAATGAAGTCGCAGCTTATTGTGATTGAACAAAGCCTCGATGCTCTGCAGTCGGCCCGCTCGAGTTCCTCTCCCGTGCCTACTGGGGCCGTTGATGGTTAGTCACCGACAATACTTTGTTTGAGCGTTATTCACATTTTTCATTTTAATTAACTTATTTAATTTATACTGAATGCAAACTGCGTGTACTACTTACTCTGACATTGACTATTTTCCTGCAATATTTCAGACGGAAGGAACGGACTACCTGAAAACGGGGAACCCAGCTCTCCCACACAGCCATAATAGGACTACTGTGGGGGCTTGATACCCAAATATGATACACAATTACGTCCGCCTATGCCTTTGAAATTTTTTTGATATTGTAAATTTCTCAAGGTTTTATGGTTTTACCTACATACATGCATTCATATAGTCTTCCTACAGTGACCTTACTGCTGTTACAGGCTACCTAAA